TAAGTTTTGTTTTGTTTTTTTTTTTAGTAGGACGCTACCATGTTGGATTACGCACAGCTCTCGCGAGATCTCACAGCATTACTGCTCTCTACTTAGCAATAGACCTAAATTGAACAGCGTCCTATTCCTGCTCTTCCTAATGGAGCCACGGTAATGCTGAAGGAAAGTGAGAGGAAGAGGAAGGATGCGCAACACTACAATCTGCGACATCGTGCACAGAATCTCGGCAGACTCGCTCCCGGGCAGGATGTGTGGGTCACAGACCAAAGAGCGGCTGGAGCTGTCATTGAAAGCTACACTACACCCCGCTCATACCTGGTGGAGGGTCCCCATGGGATCATCAGGCGAAACCGTCACCATCTCATTGCTATGCAGCCCTCGCCGGAGCAGAGCAGTGGTGGAGCAGCTGAGCATATCCTGGGAGGCGTTCCAGAACGACCTTCCACAGAACATCCTGCAGCAGCACTGCCGCAGCAGAACATTTTGGAACCACCATCTACTCCTACTCTCAGAACCAGGTCGGGGAGAGCTGTAGTAAGACCGACCCGGTTGGACTTATAGTTTTGTTCACAGTTTCCAGGGCCTAGGAGGCATTTAAAAAAAAAAAAAAAAATGTGTTCAATATTGTGAATGAGCCATTTCATGTTTTGCGCTGTTTGGATGTAAGCCTTCGAGCATTAGTCTCTAGGGTGAGGACAGATAGCACAGGGCTGGTATTGTGTTTGTAATTTCTTGTTCCACGTTAAGGATTAGACTGCTGTGTGTCTGTTATGTGGATCGGAGGGTTCAGGATTCAGAGGGTGCAGACCTTCCAGCCACAGGGGCAAAATAACCCCCTAGGGTCTTGCTGATTCAATGGTAGTCTACCCATTGATTCTTAAAAGGGGAGATGTGGTGTAATTAGTTATTCGGGTGGAGACTACGGGGGGTCGCGGAGTGATGACGTGTGGATAATTATTAAAAGACACGCTACAATAACAGTCGGACTCACGAAGTGTTTTTTTAATAACACGACACCCCCTACTGGCGAGAATCATTCTCTGCCAGCACAATTACATATCAGAAAGTCCAAGTAGTTATTTAGGTCACAGTACAATGCAGAACAAAAGGTTTACACCATTGAAGTTATATACAGTAATATATACATTTGGCAAATAAGAATCCAGCAATTCAAATTGTGTACATTGAAATAAATCGCTCCTTGAGAGTTACCGCTATGGTCGAGAGGGAATAATATTCATTGTTTCTGCAATGTTTTGCGTTTTGCATTTTGGGGCTGGCTCATTTTTTGAAAATGGATGTGCTCATGGCCACGAGGGAGAGGGGGGTAGGTAGTTGACTTCAGCTAAGTTCCCCTAGTTTACTATCAGTGTATCATGTAGGTCAGCTAGGTTTAACTTTTATTAAGAATGGAACAAATAAATTTTCAAAATTTATCAAGGTGACTCGCCTACATTCTGAGCTTGGCAGTATAACTTTACAAAGTTGCAAGTGTGGAAGGTTAGATTGGAACTAAGTGAAGAATAAGGTTTCCTGCTGGCATCTTCATGGAATTTTGATCTGTGTTCTGTCCAGGTTAAACTTATATGAACTATGAATGGGCATGAGACTAAACCACTTAACCACAAAATCATTTGTTAGGCTATACACTTTTTGATGAAGTGGTGTAATGGACTTAAAATAAATGAATAAAATCTCTAGCAGAAAAATGCGTACCTATTATTCTGATATAAACTACCAATTTAAAAAAGTCAGTCATCAGTGCAAAATGCAAAACATTGAGGAAACGCAAAAACATAATTCAGAGACTGCCAAGCAATTAAATACAAAACATTTAACAAAGAGAGAGGTAAGGAGCAGGCACTGATTAGTGTGTTGCTGCACCCAGCACACGACGAACCACTTCAGGGATGAGAACCCGAGTGCAGCCATGTGGTGGGTGATACCTCAGCACCACACTAGTCCAAATGGACCTGCTACCAACCCCCAAGTTTTTCCCTGGAAGTTGAAGGACTTCCTTATAGGGCTGAATGTAGATTAACATCACATCTAGGATGAAGCAATTGCAGGTTAAGGGCTTTACTCAAGGCCCCAACGGAGTAGAATCACTCTGGCAGAATAAGGATTTGAACAAGCAGCCTTCCAGTTACTGGTACAGATCCCTAGCCTCAGAGCCACCACTCCACCTGACAACAAAACATAAAAAATACACAAAATTAAGAAATAAGAAACAAAAAAAAACAAGAAACTTAAAGAAAATAAAAAAACTCTAAGAATAATAATTGAACTTCGAGGAAAGTAAATTTACAATTCTCTGGCATAATATAGGAATATAGTTGTATGACCATGGTCTTTTATTTACATTTTCTTTCCAACACTGCCCTCTAGTTCCTAGTCATCTGCTCTGTGTTCCGTCCATTGGAATCACCAAGTGGCAAGATTTCCAGCTCCCGATTGTCACATGTTCTCTGCAAAAGAGTTTCAGTTAAGACATTTGAGATTCACAGGTTCCAATAAACATCTAACATAGTGACCAGGAAGTGGTATTTACCTTCAAGGTTACTTGACTATTTTTACCAAATAACTATAAATAGTAAAAGTACTCATCAAACACCTTGTAAAATATTCACAACCTTCATGCATGGACAAAATTTAAGGGTTAAAAAAGCATCTGTGGATCATGTGATGTGTGAATTCAGTGATGTATTTTTGAAAGTTTGATTACTATAAGGCTGGGCTGCTTATTCCTGCTCCTGGAGATTTACCACCTAGTGCAAAGAGTATTACATAATTACAAAATGCTGCCTATTGAAGTGTTACAGCTGTTGTTTCAGCTATGTCACGGTATGGTGGTATACAAAAAGTTAATTTTGTATGGGAAATTAAAACTGGTATACTGGATCAACCAGTATTCCGCCCAATTCCAACTAAAATTTAACACACCTGACTTTAATATTCAACTACTCCCTTTGATTAGATCAAGAGTGTAAACTTGCAATCCCTACTCTAAAGTCTTAGACAGGAGAGAAAACTAGCTGTGACTTGAGGCCACTAAAGCCCTGGAAAGAGGATTAATGGATACAACCTTAATTAAACATTAATTAAACTGAAGGTAAATCATGGGTGTTCCGTCGTTAAAGTCTGTGAATGGCTTTTTCCTTTAATGACTGAGTGAAAGCCTAGAAGATTTTTTTGGTGATTAAATGCCAGCATTTACTAGGACACAGATATTACAGGCACCATATTTAGAAAGATCAATTTCCATTTACTATGCAGAAATTATTTGTAGTAATATGTACCCATCCAATATCTTGGTTTCTGCCACCATTATCCACTCTGTCAAGCAAAGTCAGCAGTGCTCGGATTAAGTGAGAAGGTGCTTAGATTGTGAGAATATCCATGCATCTTCTGTAACTGCTTATCCTATTTCAGGTTGCAGGGGGTCCGGAGCCAATGGGTGCAAGGCAGGAAACAACCTAGGATGGGTGCCAGCCCTCATACATGCACATCTATGGGTAATTAGGTAACTCCTATTAACTTCAGCATGTTTTTGAACTGTGGAGGAAAACCGGAGGAAACCCCACGATGACACGGGGAGAACATGCAAACTCCACACACATGTAACCCAGACAGAGACTCAAACCCAGGTCCCAGAGGTGTGAGACAATGGTGCTAACCACTGTGCCACCGTCTCATTGCAGGAACACAGTCATGGCCAAAAGTTTTGAGAATGACACAAGCATTGGATTTCACAAAGTTTACTGCCTCAGTGCTTGTAGATTTGTTTCTATGGTATGCTGAAGTATAATTACAAGCATTTCATAAGTGTCAAAGGCTTTTATTGACAATTACATTAAGTTTATGCAAACAGTCAATATTTGCCCTGTTGGCCCTTTTTCAAGACCTCTGCAATTCGCCCTGACATGCTGTCAATCAACTTCTGGGCCAAATCCTGACTGATGGCAGCCCATTCGTGCAAAATCAATGCTTGCAGTTTGTCAGACTTTGTGGGTTTTTGTTTGTCCACCTGCCTCTTGGGGATTGACCACAACTTCTCAATGGGATTAAGGTCTGGGGAGTTTCCTGGCCATGGACCCAAAATGTCGATGTTTTGTTCCCTGAACCACTTAGTTATCACTTTTGCCTTATGGCACGGTGCTCCACCATGCTGGAAACGGCATTGTTCATCACCAAACTGTTCTTGGATGGTTGGGAGAAGTTGCTCTGAGAGGATGTTTTGGTACCATTCTTTATTTATGGCTGTGTTCTTAGGCAAAATTGTGAGTGAGCAGCAGACTTTGTGAAAATTTATATTTGTGTCATTCTCAAAACTTTTGGCCTCGGCTGTATGTTGAGAAAAACTGATTGTGTCTAGTTTTCAGACATATTAGCTCCGCCTAGTGGTATCCTGTAGGCTGGAGCTATGTGTAGATCAGCTCTGTGTGTGTGGATCGGGCTTCAAAACAACATGAGGAAAGTCTCAAAAATACATTGCTGAATTCATGTGTGATCTAAAAATGCGCTTTTAAGTGTTCACAAACCAGTTGTACATCTGAATATATGTTGTCGCATGTATTCAAACACATGCACAAATTGTAATGAATCTGTACAAGCAAACTTTGTTTAGGCAAATGTTCATGTTCTTGTACAAATCATTCTGCATTTTTAAAATGAAAATGTACAAGACACAAGTTGAAAGGCATTGTATATGTATATGGGGAATGTACTGACATATCATATATAATAAGGGCTCTACCTCAACAGCCTCCATACTTATTAATAATCTGAAGGAAGATGGTCAGACTGATGTAGAGAAACAAGTCCCAGGACACCAACCAGAGGGGCAAATGTATCTTGGACACCTACCTGGTCTGGCTCAGGATCTCTGCATCTCTGAAGAAAGGTGATCCCTTGTGTTAATCTACAAAAAAAGGTAATATAGTTTCTACAATAGAATTTTGTCAGCGTATCACATTTTAGTCAGTTGTTATGCATATCTTACTGATACCGAATATTACCATAAATTTTTGTATTGTCATAAGACAATAAATGCGTTTTTTACCTGAATGCTCTTACCTCTTTTTCATTTATTGCACATTCCACTTAAATGACAATTTGCACAATCATTCCCCACCAGTTAGGTGGTTAACTATTTATTCATGTGTGTCTTAATGGCCATGTCTTAAAATGGAATTTATATAATTTTTATGTTTAACTATTCATACTCTAGTTATTACTTTCTTATATGCATTACTAGAATCTAGAGTAACTTTTTCCACTAGTAGTACTTGTGCTCCTTACAGAACATTTTAGGAGCACCAGCACAAAATTTAGGCGCACCAATTAAATCGACATGCAATGCAACATATTTATATTTTTTGCCAATTTAACTATATTATAGATAAATGCAAGTTACAAAAACAACAATGTGATGTTTTATTTTAAACAAAAGAATCTTAGTGAAGTAGTGCTTTAAGAAAATTAAGTTAAATGGTGCTTTTTAAAATCTAAACACCAATGTTTGTTTCATTGTCACCAATGGGCTTATGGACCAGCCAGATATGACATCCTGCTCACATTGTTCCCAATTCGTGTTGTTATGATGACAACAGACTCACATTAGCTTTCCACACTAATCACTCTTTATCAGGTATTTTGACTGTGCTTTAAAAAGCAACTGTATTTCGATATTTTGAAATTCTCCAAAATACGGTTTCAGCAAAAACAAATAATGTAATATGCTTTGCTGGCATTTTACTGTCCAAGTCTAAATGATAGTTCCACTTACAAAATGCCTTTTCAGGTCATAAATGTGAAAATAATTTCAAATACAAACATGTAAGCAGAGTTGTGGTGCATTGATCCTTGCATAGCTGATTTAAAATGCAGGTGGAGGAATCGATACATGGAACCATAATTCAAATGTCTTATCGAATTCCTGGTTCATAAAAATTTCTAATTTGGAACCACTTCACAATACCCAACCCTACACCTATCCTTGCTCCATTTCATGTGATATACGATGATAGTTAAAAAAGAAATAGCAAGTCATACTGGTGCACCTAGTTAAAAAAAATTAGTCACACTGTCTCCAAAAATGGTCGCAAAATTTGACCAAATTGTTGTAGTCTGGAGCCCTGCACAACGACCAAGATTTTCCATAACAAACTCACCAATGGTATAACTACCATGTAATGTCAAACAGAAAAACATACAGAGACATACAGACCCCACTGTGATTTTCTTCTGAGATCAAATGTTATTGCTACCAGGACTGTTTTACACACACAAGCTCCAGTTAGCTGGCAAAAAAACTGCTCTACAGGCACAGTGGGTTGTACATACAATCTTTATCCAGGTTCCAAACTTGTAAAAATTAAACATTATCAAACAAAAAAAAAATTGTAATTTTAGCATTATAACCTTTAAAAAAAACATTTATTATAACACTAGACTGGTTAAGATGAGCATTCATATAAATGGAAAAGAAGCTAACAAAAATAACAAAGATTTAATCACTACTACTTCCACACCCCCCAGCCTCTATCTCTAGCTGCCTTACAGTAGGCTTGGCTGGTATCTAATTTTTCATACCACGATACCATCCACTTCACAGGGGGATTCCACAAGATAAATTGTGCCAAATTAAAACACTGCGGTATATGAACAATATTAATGTAATAATGCCAAGCCTACCCTTCAAACACTCCCCACCTCTCCAAAAAAATCTGTATTAAAAGCCTAACATTGTGCGACATGTCTCAGTTTAATCAGGTTCAACAGATTTGCGCCTGTTCTTTCATTTTCTGACACTGAGTAGGACTAGGGCTAAATGGCATGATTAAAGTCTCCCATGATAAATTTTTCCAACTATGCTACTGAAAAAACTTGCCAAGAGGAGGAGCCTGGCGACAAAAAATATCCATCCAGCCATCCATTCAACTTCTGCAACTGCTTGTGCTAGTCAGGGTTGCGGTGGGTTCAGAGCCTATCCCATAGGCTATGGGCACAAGGGAAGGAACAACCCAGGATGGGGTGCCAAGCCCTCACACACCATTTACTCACACACCATTCACTCACATGCCATTCACTCACACACCATTCACTCATACCTACGGGCAATTTGGTAACTCCAATCAGCCTCAGCATGTTTTTGGAGTGGGGGGGGAAACCGGAGTACCCAGAGGAATCCCCATGACAAAACGGGGAGAACATGTAAACTCCACACACATTAGATCCATGGTGGAGACTTAAAGGTCCCAGAAGTGAGAAGCAACAGTGCTAACCAATGTAGCACCGTGGCACCCCAAAATATATATTTTAAAGTACAGTGGTACCTTGGATCTCGAACTTAATCCGTTCCGGAATCCAGATCAAATCCTAAAAAGTTTGAATTCTGATAGAATTTTTCCCATAAAAAATAATGGAAAACCAATTAATTGGTTCCCGGCCCCCAAAATAATTTAAACGCAAAATGAACAGGACAAAACAAGAAGAGCATTTTCATTTCTTCCGTGTGCCACGCCCCCTCGTTAACCTCGTGTG